GGGTCAAAAGTGAGATGATTTTCTTTTCCATCTTAGAGGTAGTCTCTGCCTCTTATTCTGTCTCCCCTGCCGTCCCCTTTCTGGGGGATTTGACTATGTATTATCGTACTGAAAGATCCACAGCTCTAGAGGTGAGCGATATCATCGAAAGTATGTCAACACAATAAAAATCACCCCAAAGATGGAATGCGATTATACGCAGAACCCCTATAACTTTCGAAATGCCTGCGGGAATCCCAATGAGGACATTGTTAGAGACACTGGAAGCAAAAGAACTCCATTTCAAGGTACAACATCTACCTATTTTCTGTGAAGACACCCAGTGTCATAAGAGCAAATTTTGATGCAAATGGGACGGTATTCGATCATTCTAGCAGAGTTCGTACTATTGTTGGATCTTAGAGGGAAAAAAGACATACCTTGTAACACTTCAGAGCTCTCATTTCAATCATTAAACACGACCGTGACCTTTTTTGTTCCAATGGAATTCTGTTGGCATAAGGCCAATTCTACATAATTCATGTCTTGATCATCACTCTTCGCAAGGCTTCACATCATACTCTACGTCAGTCCGAATAATATATTTTGCCCCCTTCCTCACCCCTGTACCTTCATGTAGCAAGGCTCCATTCGACTCCCCATGGGGGAATATCGCAACAGCTCCCATCACAGGTCGTACTGGGTATCCATTCAAGGTTCCCTCCCGCGGGGCTGGCATGAAGAACGTCGTCTCCCCGCCCTCAAACTCATCGTTGAGATATAGTAGGAAAGTGTACATCGAGCTCTGCTTCTTTTCCTCGGGCGAAGAGTCATACACGTATGTGTCATCCGGGAGAATACCGGACGGTGGCCAGGCTCCGTCAATGTGGCAGCGATATTCGGCTCCGGGGACGTACCTATACACACGGAAGCGACGATTGATGCCTCGGACCATGCGGCCGTTGATCGAGGGCGGCACATATGGGGAAATTCGCGCCCACAGCATGTCGTGGAACGTGGTGTCGATGATCCAGTAAAAGTTGTGGGCCAGGATGCTGATGTCTCCATCTTCGCGAAGGGGCGCGTCCGGTAGGAAGTTGACAGATTCACCAGCAGCAATGATCGCCCTGCATTCGGCGGCGGAAAGTACATTGAGAGCGAGGCCTAGGCCTGGCACGGCGGGATGGGCGTGGTAGCTTATGGACGGACCCACGGGAGCTAGTGGAACGGCGTTCGGGGCGGTGGTATAGAGGATGGCGGGATGGTGGTTGGGAGGTTTGCGGAGCGGGCCAGGGGTTTGTTCGATAATGCGGAGGGCGGATGGAGACTTGGGCGCCTCATCCAGGATGGATTTGTCGAGGACTGAGGCGTAGACCTGGAGTGGTGCTGTCGAGGGGCGTAGGTCCCAGATGGACTGGAAGGCGATGGGATTGGTCGAGTCAATAGCGGCCGTATTGGTGTCAATCGGGGTGCTGACGCGCAGGATGGCATCAAGGACACCGAGGATTTCCATTTCCTTCACACTGCGCTTAACGGGGACATGGTCTTCTGCTTTGGGCTGTGTGGAGAGGCCGCTGACGACATCCAGATCTCGTACCCAGCGACACAACGCTCCGATCTTGGGTTGTTCCCCCCGAATCCGCATCTCAGCGAGCAAGATCCTAGCTTCGATGTATTTCTCGTCCGCCAATGCACCGGTTATTCTAGCTGTCAAGTTGGCGCCCTCTATCGAATCATCTGATTAGTTAGAGTCCTGGGGCAGGGAAAAAGCGGCATACCGGCGGTGTTGACACCCGTAGTGCATGTCTGGCGGAAGTTATAGATCGCGACTCGGAGATCCTTGCATGCCTTCGACTTTGTCAGGCTGGGATATTGTGCAAGCGCTGTGAGCGTCTCGATTGTGATGTCGAGTTCCTCGTCCGAGACGACGGCATTGAGATGTGTGGATTCGAGAGGTACTCCATCCGGAGGTGGTGTTAGATCCGGGACTGCCTTGGGAAGCTTTTGTGGAAGGTCGACCTGTGCGTTGCGTTTGCGCTTGGCTGCTTTGGACTTGCCCATTGCTTCTATATTTAGACTGAAGAGTTCAAGTGTTCACAGTTTCACGGAGTGCGTCTTCGGATCTTCTGAGTCTACCGATATTTTGCCCGAGAATTCCGACCTCATGATAATTACTAGGATTATGTAACATCACGGAAATTTTCCCGGTCCAGCCCCGGGGGCAAGATTCATTCGCCACACAATCCAACCTGTCAACATCTCGCATTCTGTTTATATATTGTGTATGCGTACCAAAGGTTCATCCCAAGGGTTTGGAATGATCTTCAACGGTTATTTCTAGTGAAAATCCTTACACATTCGAAGATATGTAGAGACATGTGAGCCGCATACTCAGGGAAATCCTTGAGATTTCATCCTTGGATTTTCACCTGGGCAAGGGCACCTTGAATTGAAGCCTTCGTCACTACAACCTTCACCTATGCAGGGCCATCCAATCGCGATTTTTCCAGAGGATTCCGCTGCATACCCTCGCCATGTCTAAGTTCTGCGAGGCTTTTATGATTACATCTATATGCGACTCGGACATCAGGAAGCCATGTAACCTAAGTAACAACACTTGAAGTCTATAATCCGACTTGTTCATAACCTACAATTAGACAACAAACAAAACGATAATTGGGGTATCTTGTTCGGCCTGCTAAATATACGAAGGAATAGAAAGAATAGATATCATGGGCCCCCGTGCTCCTCAGTTTCGCGAATGATGGAATTTTTGCTTGCGTCGACCTTCTCATGTACAGCACGCGTCTTTTGTTTTGTTTTCGTATAACCTTCAATTCCAGCGAGCATAATATAAGACTTGCTCATCGAAACATGGGACATATCAACACCTTGTTGCTGTAGGGCATGGTGGAATGCTCTGAAGTTGGCAGCTGGAGGGCGATAATGACCACTGAACAAGTTGGCCTGTAAGTTAGCCTGCCCTTTCGAGCAATGATAGAAGCCAATGAATGAAAGCTTTGATTGATTGAACTCACCTAAGTGGTGCCAGACTTCGAAGTTGGCCGTGTTTGATCTTGACCATACCAGCTGCTGCAATACGGGCACCTCGAAGAAAAGATGAATGCTGAAAGGCACCTGATTCCTTTATGCCAATGTACAAACGAAAAGACGTATCCGCAACCTAAGGCTGGGTCAGTGTTCATTCAACAACCACAAATTCACACTTAACTTACAAATAACCACATATCTTCTTTCTCCGAGGACTTTCCCAAGAGTCGCTTAAATGCAACAGCAGGGTTTACGTACGCCAAATTTTTCATCATCTTCGTAGCTTTGTAATCTTCAATACCGGAATTCTTCGGGTCTTGATTTGAAAGGACATCGTCAGGGTTGTGTCTTGCAGATGTTGTTGATATCGATGATGAACATGATGAACATGATGCACATGCGGAACATGATCTTGATGGTGCTAAGTCCCAGGTGGAATCTGGTTGCAGGGTTGTGGAGTTTCCATTGAATTGAGGCACATCATCCTCGATTCCCACAATTCCTTGGAGGCTATCTTTGAAACGTGTAGTATTTGTCCACACTAGTTCATTGTTTTTGGCCCAGCGGAAGAGCCCCGTCTCGTCTACCGTCACCATGTAATTCATACGTTCCTCGCGAGTGAGATAGCGGACCTGTTCTTTCTCAAGTCTGTCTCGTGAACATTGTGGAAGCTCAATGTTTTCTCCCTCGCCATAGTCTAACCAGTAGAAGAAGTTTTCGTTTGATGGTGAATTCCGCCAATACGTGTGGTACCAGTGCAGATTGCTTCCGTGCCGATGTTTGAGATCAACCATTTCAAGAAAGTATTGAAGATGCATCATCTTAGCCGTGGCCCCCGCTGCGAACTCTGTGTTATGTTCTGACCGAGTCCCCGTGGATGGCGAAACTTGCGAAACACGATCGTCGCCGCCGACGCGCCTAGCGACACTAACCGCTCGTTGCCAGTTTCGGCGAGCTTGATTGAAACCATCATTGCTGGGTGCCACACGAGGCTCGGGAGGTCGATGAAGTTGGCGCCACTGAGCTTCTCGAAAGGCCTAGAGGGGCCAGAGAAACAATATTAGATTCGGTCGGGTTCGCGCAGGACACACACACACTTACCTCAACCCATCGTGTGGAGGCAGTCAAACTATGTCCGCACAGCTCTCGTCGTGTTCGGTGACCACGATAAATTCGCTATTGATGCTCAGGTAGTCAGCGAAAATCGACAACGCCAGGATTCATATGGTAACTGTACCTGAACCGTCCGCGCAGCGTGTTCCTTATCGATGACGTCAGAAAAGGTCGAAGTCTCCGGGAGTTTAGTCATGGAGAAGTTATAGGTTGGAAAGGAGGATATTCAACCATCAGTAAGTCGAGAGTCAAGAGTCAAGAGTCAAGAGTCAAGAAGTCAAGAAGTCAAGAAGTCAAGAAGTCAAGAAGTCAAGAAGTCAAGAAGTCAAGAAGTCAAGAAGTCAAGAAGTCAAGAAGTCAACAGAGATGCGGTTCATTAAAGCCCAGGTCCATACAGAGTAGATGTCCATGGGTGGGGGAAGGTCATCTTTGTCAGCCCTCATCCTCATTTTAGTGGACACCAACATCCATAAACTATTACAGAGTACAGTCAATAATATACAAAAAGATAAAAAATATAATAATTGGAGAATTTAACAGACCCCTCATGACGAATATCCCTTCTCCCCCCTCAGCAAAGAAACCAAAAAAAAAAAGATCGGTATAGATCCCGAGACTAAGAGATAGATGGGAAATTATTTCCCCATTTAGGATCCGAAGCCCCACAATGGGCAATCTATACCATCTTGTTCATATATTGCGGGATAACGCCCCGGTTACCCCTCGTGAGGAGATGTGAGGAGATGTGAGGATTAATATTGGAGCTTATATTACATATAAATGGGGTCAACATTTGCTCTAAATTATTTTATTGACCTCAATAATACCTACTCCGTACTTATTTTCCATCTCTCACCATGGCACCCTCTCTCCACCCTCTTATCGACAATGGCATCACACCAGGCTCAAGTAGCTTCTCTGGTGGAAAGCTTCACTGCCACTGCGCCTCCGACCAGGTCGAGATCACCTTGAAGAGCAATGTTGCCCACAACCATGCCTGTGGCTGTTCCAAGTGTTGGAAGCCATCCGGTTCTCTCTTCTCCATTGTTGGAGTTGTACCTCGAGATGCCGTCTCGGTGACAGCGAATGCCTCGAAACTTTCGATCGTGGACAAAGAAGCTACCATTCAACGCAATGTCTGCAAGGATTGTGGTGTGCACCTCTTCGGGCGCATCGAGAAGGACCATCCGTTCAAGGGTCTCGACTTTGTACACGTGGAGTTATCCGATGACAAGGGCTGGCAGGAACCACAATTCGCCGGTTTCGTCTCATCCATCATTGAACAAGGTTCTCACCCCAAAGAAATGGATGAAGTGAGAGCCAAATTCAAGGCCGTCGGACTGCAGACATACGACGTGCTGTCGCCAGTGCTGATGGATCTGATCTCCACTTTCACAGCTCAGAAGTCCGGCATCAGATTTGCCAATTTGTGATCTAGAAAAAAGTATTATGATTCATGTACTTAAAAGGGTGGGTGTTGATCGAGGTGGTTGGAGTTGAATTCAGAGGGGATTGTGGAAAGGAGTATACTTGAACTTCAGTCAAATAGTGTATATCTCAAGTTATGTTATCGTGAAGATTGGCTCTCACTTTGGTAGATTATTGTAGATTTTGAAAAAGAACATGCATCACTGCCTGAGGCCTCCAATTCGTTCTCCAGAGAAGAGATCTCCCTCTACCATCGGCACTTTTCATAGTCACTTACTCACTACAGCTTCGATATCATCATTCCCTATTGGATTCAAAAACATGGAGTGTACTTTGTGATTTTAACAAGCAGGTTTCCTCAGATCCCAGCTGAATGATGCATCTTGAACCGATCATGTTCTTCATCCCTTGTTCATTCTCTTATCAATTGTCCTATCTCGTTCCCTCAATGTAGCGACAAGTCTGCAGATTTCTTTTGTACGGGCTCTGATCAATCCATCCTTCTTACATGCGCGCTTTGAGCTTCTCGGCCGTTTCCTGAAGTGGATACTTGTGGTGCTTTGTTTTGCTACGGACGCGTTCGCCGTCTTGAGGTGTGATATACCGAGCTTCAACTGCGGGGTTGTACCCCAACCCAGAGACCCTGCTAATATCTTCATCTGGAATAGGACGGCTGACCTGTCCATCGGCACGTTTATAGATCGTTACCACCACTGCTCCCCCTAGCCCGAGATTGTGCTGCAAAGCGGCATCAGTGCCAGGGACCAAACGGTTGTTGGCCCAACCGCGGAGCTGCCAAGTGAGTTCTGCACACTGAGCTAGCCCCGTGGCTCCTAGAGGGTGACCCTTTGAGATCAGCCCGCCAGATGGGTTAACAACTAGGCCGCGACCTCCATACGTGATGTCCCCCCCGACGGACCATCTCATGGGCTTTTCCTGGCTCCGAAAATCCAAGTGCGTCAAGCAACAGAAGCTCGTTTGTGGAAAAACAATCGTGCAGCTCGCAAACCCCGATATCTTTTACTCCGACACCAGCCTCCTGCATCGCCAGCTGGGCAGCTTGGCGCGACATATTGAACCCGACGAGGTCTATTGCGCTTCGGGAATATACCTCTGGTCCATCGGTCAACAGCCGTTGGCCAGCCATCAGAATAGCCTGGGATTTGAGGTGAGGTCGTGCATCCAAGAACCGTTGGGAGACAATGATGGCCGCTGCAGCACCATCACTCGTTGGGGAGCACTGGAGCTTGGTCAGGGGTCCATAGATTTGTGTCTTTGGGTCCAAAATCTGATCCAAAGAGTATGCAGTTCGGAACTGGGCGTACGGGTTTCGCTGGGAGTGTTCATGCGACACCCGAGCAATTTCAGCGAAGTCTTCCGCTTTGGCGCCATATCTGTTTACATGATCAGCACCAAGTCGAGATGCAAGTCTCCGGGCACTCTACTTGTCCATGTACTCCTGTCCGGCATTTCCAAAATACTGGGCATTTCGAGGGCTTTGGTGTTTACCGAATGTGTCCTCCATCATTTCGGTCGATGGACCCAATGGACTCGGCCGATCGTCCCATACACTCTTAATTGAACCCGGGCGCATCTGTTCGAAGCCGACGACGAGGACACAATCAGCTTGGCCTCCTTTGACCAGGGTACGTGCAAGATGGAGACCAGTGGATCCAGTGGCACACGCGTTGTTTGTATTATAGATTGGGATCCCCGTCATTCCTAGCTGGTACATGATCCGTTGACCAGAAGTCGTGTCGCCATAACAATAGCAGGCCACACCTGCCTGTACATCATCGTATGTGATATGCGCATCGATTAAGGCTTTGACTGCTGCCTCATATCCCAGTTCTGGATCTGTCAGGATAGAGAGACATGAGCAACATAGTATATCGGCCAGAGACTACGTGGCAAGGGATAATCTCACATTCACGAGTGCGACGCGGTTTCAGGAACTGAGTCATCCCCACCCCCAAAACGTATGATTGAGACTGAGATGCCATGGTAAATTGTGAAGACTCGAAGTTGTGAAACTGAACTTAGTCATTATTCACCTTCCAGGGCTACATTCATATATAAACAATATTTAAGCTCGTTAGTAGCCGAGCTTCCGAGGTACGTTGCCCTTTTCCCCTCATCACCCTCATCTCTTTTAGCAAGGTCATGAAGCCGACTATATGACAATCTTGGTCTTTTTTTTAAATGATGCATTCTGCCTATACAAAGTGTATATTGATTCCTGTATAGCCTATTTAAATCGCATAAAGCTTTCCCCACAACTCCGCAATTGATATGTATTGCAGGCTAATGATCGCATGAGTACCTACGAAGAAGTTAAGGGACTTGATCATCGAAATATTACTTGTGATTATTGTGATGTACATCGATTTAGATACGTATGAAATGGCCTGAGGCACTGTTTACATATGTGCTATGATGGAATCCTCACAATTCCACTTGCAACTACAACTGTCAGGTTGCACTTGATATTCCATACATTCCATATAGTCCATATACACCGGATACAAATCAAAAAGGTACCTTTTGTCTTTGAACCCCTCTTTCTCAATACTTCGCTCTTTCTCGGCGGTTTCTGAACATCCTCGGCCTCCCCCGCACCAGGAGCTTTGCTATCAAAATGCCGACATGTTGATTCTAGATTTCAGTCCCAGTATGTTTCATAGCAGATTCCCTTCAACATGGCAGTTCTCACATACGTACGGAGACTTACTGGGCCAAAATTCCTTTCTAACGTCTCATGTAGATCCCACGAATCCCTCGATTGCCGCCTCTTAAAGCAAGAAGTGTGTCACGCTGCATTCGATTACGAGCATTACACGCGCGTGCGACCGAATTTCTTCAAAGCCAAGATCCCGATCTATCCGAGTCCCAGCGAACGGTGCGAGAATCTATTTCGAAAATATGCTGGGATTTCCCGGACAGTTACTGGGCCCAGGTAGACGAGTCGCATCGATTTCCAACCGAACTCTATGAGGCTTTGGCAGGCCAGGGTTGGTTGGGTATCTGCCTGCCACAACGCTATGGAGGCTCTGAACTTGGTATTTCGGAAGCAGCAGTAATGATGCAGACTATTGCGGAGTCAGGGGGAGGCATGACGGGTGCGTCGTCTATCCATATGAATATCTTTGGCTTGGAGCCAGTTGCCAAGTTTGGGACCGAGGAGCAGAAAGAACGGTGGCTCACTCCGCTCATTTCTGGTCACCACAAAGCCTGCTTTGGAGTCACGGAGCCCAATACGGGCTTAGATACCCTGCAATTGCAGGCAACCGCGCGCCGGTCGGGGGATGGCTATGTGCTATCGGGACAAAAGGTCTGGATTTCCACTGCGCAGCGAGCTGACAAGATCCTCATTCTGGTGCGCACTACACCACGCGACCGAGTGAAAAGGCCATCACAGGGTCTGTCACTTTTCTACACAGATCTACAAGTTCCTCAGGTCCAAATGACTGAAATACCAAAGATGGGCCGGGCTGCTGTGGACACAAACTCCCTGTTCTTCGATAACTGGCATGTCTCAATGGAAGACCGCGTAGGAGAAGAAAACGAAGGATTTCGAATGATTCTTCACGGAATGAATGCCGAAAGGATTCTGATCGGCGCAGAGGCTCTTGGGCTAGGATTTGCTGCCTTGCGTCGTGCGGCTTTGTATTCCAATGACCGACATGTATTTGGGCGACCGATCGGTCAGAACCAGGGAATCCAGCATCCCCTGGCGGACAGCTGGATGAAATTGGAGGCGGCGCGTATGATGATCTACCAGGCTGCTCGACTTTATGACCAGGGATACACTGGTGGTGAGTATGCCAACGCTGGAAAATACCTGGCTGCAGAGGCAGCCTTTGAGGCCTGTGAGCGAGCCATACTCACACATGGCGGGATGGGATATGCGAAAGAATATCACGTTGAGCGATATCTTCGAGAAGTGTTTATTCCTCGTATTGCACCTGTTAGTAGAGAAATGATTTTGAACTACATAGGGGAACGGGTGCTTGGTCTCCCAAAGTCATACTGAGTGGGATAGTTTTGGAAAGCCTCGGGTCTTCAATTAAACCAGAGCTGTGCAAGGCCTGACATCACGTTCAGTAGATATTATCATAATTTGAGAGTTCCATCGGTGAATTTCGGTGTTTTGCTACAATATTGGTTCGGCAATCTACCCCTCTAATGCCTTTTTAATGCGGAACATCTCAATGACCTTGAAAGCGGGGATGTTTTTATAGATCGTCGTCAACCATATATGCGGGGGTAATCTCATCACTTGAAAGGAACATTTTTCTATATATATATTTTTTCTTTTTGCTCTCAGTACTACATTAAAAAGAGCAGATATGACAACAACTAGGACCATTCTCAAAGGCTGCCCCTTGGTTAGGACGACTACCACACAAGTGTTGGAGCCTCGTAAATATGATATCCATTCAGCATCATATTTGGGGAATCCCCAATTCCGTTGCAGTCACGCTTCAGCATATGCCCATGGTCCCTTGTCGGGGATTCGAATTCTTGATCTGACGCGTGTTCTCGCGGTGAGTTTCTGATATTCGTACAAGTTTGGAAATGATCAATGACTGAAACATGCCAGGGACCATTCTGTACACAGATTCTCGCTGACTATGGCGCCGAGGTTCTCAAGGTTGAAAATCCTAAAGGGGGTGTACGTCCCTGGCTATCTTTCTTTGCCTATTTGGGTAGATTTGATACTTACCAGGGATACAGGATGACACTCGCTTGTGGCGAACGGCAGCAGAGAAAGATATTTGGAAACTCACGGGCAAAGACATGTCTGCATATTTCTGCGCAATTAATCGGAACAAAATGTCCATCACCTTGAACCTCAAACAAGACAAAGGCCGGGAGGTCCTTTTTCGACTTGTCAAAAAGTCCGACGTGGTGTCAGTAATCCCACTCAATCTTAATTGAACAATTTCCCGTACTAAATTTAGCACAGAGTAGAAAACTTTGTTCCAGGAAAGATGGATAAGAT